TTTGTCAGCAAAAAAAATTCAACTAAAATGAAACCTGTGGCGCCAGAACTAAGAAAACGTTTGTCTAGTAATATACTGAGATTAAGACTAGGAATCAAAACAGCGATAGCATACAGAAAAAATGAAATAAATAGTATGGAAATTCAAATAAAAAACTTAATAAAATAAAAGACATAAAAAATTGTCCGTACCATGTCTTTGGACAACATACAAACTACGATCAATATTTATGTAAAGGATCCAAAGAAAGCGAAATAAACTTTGTTATGAAATTAGAAGAATGCGGATTATTGAATGACATTCTCTCGTGTGGGAACAGACTAATTCTATTCTAATAATAATGCAACAGAAACATATAACTCTGTGATTTCAAAGTTTGTTGGGGGTAAAAGAATTAATTTTGTTTTAAGAGGTAGCTACGATATACGTTGTAAAGCTGCAACGATATCATTCAATGAAAGAGAACATTACTTTAGTGACCTACATAAGAAAATAACCATGAAAAGTCCAGGAAAATATACAAAAAAATACATAGAACAAATCAAAAGAGTAGGGAACAAAGGAAGACTGCGTAGAGAGTTACACCCAGTTATAAAGAAAAATTGCACCAGCTGATAAAAATTACGGTGCATTAGATATAGAAATAACAATAAACGAGAAAGAGAGGTTTTTGGAATCCTTACAAAAAAGTAATGAGGAGATTGCAAAAATAGAACAATCCACCAGGGGCCAATCTACAAATTTTTTGTGGAAAGAATACAAACACAATCGTTTGACAGCCTCTTATTTTGGAGTTGTATGCAAATTGAGGAAATCTACAAATCCTGCAAACACCATAAAAAAATATTGTTTTCCGATTTTCGCGGATCTGCTGCTACAAGGTGGGGACAAGATCATGAAGCAATTGCAAAACTGGAATTTGAAGTAAAATATAATTTAAAAGTACGCGAATGTGGATTATTTATTTCTGAAGAAAATCTATTTCTTGCAGCGAGTCCGGATGGCATTATTGATGACGATCATATCGTAGACGTAAATGCCCCTATTCGGCTTGTAAGTTGTCCCCAAATTAAAAAAAAAAAAATTAAATACCTAACACGTGAAGAAAATAGTTTTAAATTAAAACACACCGATAATTATTTTTATCAAGTTCAAGGACAGCTAGCAATAGCTCAGAAAAAATATTGCTACTTTATTGTTTGGACACCTATGGGTTTCATTGTTGATAAGGTACATATTTACATTAGTTTATAAACGTATTAGAAACTTTTTTTCATGTCAGAATTTTTAATGTATTCAAACAATATTTTTAAAATTACTATTATTATTTATACATCATTATTTATCGTATACTTAATACTGATACCTGCACATACAAAATTGCACAAACTAATTTAAATATTTTCTAATTACAGATAGAAGCCGAGCCGGAATTTTGGAAACAAATATTTCCAAAATTGAAAAAAAAATATATTGAAAATATGTTGCCACATATTTTAAGTAGTTAAATAACTATACTTTAGTCACTGACACAGAACGACCAAGAACTGCTTAAACGTTTCGAGAGAAAAATTCTGAGGAAAATATATGGAGGTGTCCAAGAACAGGGTTTGTGGCGCAGAAGTTACAACTTTGAGTTATACAGAAGTTCTGGGGAACCTGACGTTGTAAAATTTATTAAACTAGTACGCCATTGATGGATAGGACATGTAATTAGGCGAGATGAAGGTGCAACGATCAGAAAAATTTTCGACCGAAGAGGACCAGTGGGAAGACGATCCAGAGGAAGACCAAAACTTAGGTATCAAGATAACATAGATGATGATCTAAAATCCATCGGAGTTAAAGCATGGAGAAAGTTGTCAGAGACAGGGGCGAATGGAAGATTGTTCTGAAGAAGGCTTTGGCTCATGACGAGCTGTAATGCCACTGATGATGATGAAATAACTATACTACTATCCACAATTTGTGTTTTATTCATCAATTGGATACTTTTCTTATGTAACTGCAACCTATAAATATATTAAAATAATGTATATTCCATTCAGAGAACTTTTTCCTCACAGTGCGTCGCCTCGAAATACTTGCCTTTACTATTACCTACTACTTTACTATTATGATGGTTTCGCAGGTACCAATTTTTTATAGATAAATAAAAATATTTTTTGTTTAATTTTTACTACGCTAATATCAGTTTTCTCTAACAAATAAATAACTCCTTAAAATCATTTTCAAGCTATAACTCTACGATAATCAATCTAAAAAAGTATTCCGACAAAACTAATTTGAATGGAGAATAATGCATTTATTGTCATTAAACAACCCGTGGGCCGGCGCCACTGAGTAAACATCGAAACAAGTTAACACTGCAGATTTCAAATTAGGAAGTCACGTAGGTCCTGACGTAAGCAGTGTAGAAAAGTAAGTAATACGGACACTTCAAATCGCAGTGTGTTTTAACTGCGAAAAAAGCCTTAAGTTGTTCGAAATCATCCGTCTCCTCTACGGCTATGGTCTGGAGTACATCTAAGGCATCTCCTCGAAGAGCGATAGTCAGGTTTACAGCCTTTTCCTTTTCAGACCACCCATTCGCTCTTGCAGCTGATTCGAATTGTTTCATGTAGTTGTTCCATGACGATTTTCCGTCGAAAGTTGGGACTTTAACATGAACAGAACCTCCACTTCCTTCAAATTTCGGCCGTGTTTCCAACTCACATTTCATCTCGTCTTTTGTCTCTGCTGTAATTGGATTGTTTCCTCTCTCTGCTTTCCCTGATTTATTTAGCTTCTTTTCCATCTCTTTCCATATCTTTTCTTCGAAGGCCAACATATCGGCAGCAACTTGTTTTTTTTTAACGAAGACATTCTATCGTCGAGGGCAGACATCTCAGAAGTGACTTCAGAGATTTCCAAGGAGATATTAGCAGAAACTTTGCTTTCTAGACAAGAAATCTCGTTAGAAACTTTGTCTTCTAAAGAAGCGATGTCGCCGGAAACTTTGTTCTCTAGTGATGCGATGTCACCAGAAACTTTGTTCTCTAATGATGCGATATCACCAGAAACTTTGAAAATCGACGAGATGACAGCAGCATGTTTGTCTTCAAATATATAAGTTTCCAGATTCAAACCCTCTTCTTTTTAGCGCTCTTTAGTCGTTGGACTAAATCAGCCTTTTTTCGGGTAGAAGCTAATTCTCTTTCCTCGAGATGTCTTCTTAAATCCGTAACTGTGAGCTCGTAAATCGTAGCCATTTTCACTATTTTATTTAAGATTCACTTCTGAACACCAATGTTAAATCTTTATTTAATTCTAATTTATTGTTTTTATTATTTATCAAAGATTCGATATTTATAACACTTACAACTTAATTTAAAGTTTATTTATACTAATTTATCTTACAATAATAATTACATAATTTATTTTAATACGATCGTTACATTTAAAACGCCGCACGCTAAATAATCTTGTTTACTGGTGTTTTCTGCAAAAAGGTTTCTATTTATATAACATGCCGTTATTTCGAGAGTTCCGGTGATTCCCTCTGATTAGACTAGAAGGTCAATCGGCCGGTTTCTGGAACCATCAAGTTGTAGGGGAGCGACCGTTTCAGGTAGATTTTACTTGGAATTTCTGCCAGCTAATAAAATCTAGAACATAAAAGTGAATAAACAACATGTTTACAGGTTTTTAATATGACCCATATTTTTACGTAACACTATTATCAAAATTGTTACTTAAAATGAGTTAATACTTTTGAGTTTGTTAGTTCATGTAAATAAATATAATTTACAAAATATATACCTAACTTTATTTATTCACCTAAGAGTAACGCACAACATTTGTATAGGCTCCATAGAATTCCTCATTACCGTATTCTTTTTTTTTGTAATTATGGTTTTAATCATTCAATAGATTTGGAAGTAGATGACGAACTTATCCTCATATCCTCATAAACTTCGTATAAAAATCGACTAATTCCTTTCTTTTGTAACATATGGGTGAATCCAACATATTCTTTCACATCTTTTTCTACTACGAGACAAGCAACGTCTGTACAAAACCAATAAATCTATCCATACTGCCAATATGAACATCTACCCGACACTGCTACTGATATAACTATCGGTAACCGTGGTTGGGTAGAAGATCCAAATCCATGTATAAACCGAGTATTTGTGAACAGGCTCTTAGAGGAAGTATATTTCGTTTTGTGTTACTGATTAAACGTATATTATTATTAATAAACTAATTACATAGCAATACACTAAAAAACATGATTAAAAAAATAAACTGTTAACTATCTGCATTTTGTGTGTATTTTGGTTTGTCCCATTAATATAGTTGTTAGGGCTCGTATTTTATTAATTTTACTGACAGTTATTTTTCATTAAGTATTATTGGAAGTATAACTTTCTAATCGCTGGCTACGGATGGAACGCATTGATCGGCGAAATAGATAGCGCAGAGGTGTAGCAAAATTAAACAAAACAAACGAGATGAAACGCAAATTGTGCGACTACACACTACGTGGAGTAGTAAACGCAGTCCCATGCCCGTTTCCTAATAAAATTAAATAAACTAAACTGAAATAAAATAAACTAATCAAATCCAATCGAATCGATTATAGAATAGAATCGATTATCAAATTGAATCGAGTCGATTATAAGTCAAATTGAATCGATTATCGAATTGAATAGTATCGATTATCGAATCGAATCAATACCTATCGAGTCGAATCGATTCGATTATTGAATCGAATCGATTATGGAATCGAATCGATTATCGAATCAAATCGAACTGAACAGAAATAAAAAAAAATAGAACAGAATAAAATAAAATAAATTAAAGTCATCGTTCCTTGCTTAGACGATAAGAAAGCTATGCGTCCCACCTCTGTCACTCCCGGAGTGCCACATTCCGCCCTTTTCAAATACTTTTAACGTATCTGGTAAAAATATTAAATTTATAAGAAACAATTTAACCAAAAAAAAATTACACACCTGTAGGCTGGCTGATGGTAAGTATTAACCCCATAATGGTTATAATAACCATCTCCTCCGCCGCTGCCTCCATAATAATCATGACGAATTCTTTTGGGAACTGGCTCCATATTGGGCGAATATCCTCTATCACGAACACTGCTTCTATATTCCCTTGGTCTAGGGCGAGACCATGAATCCCTTTAAAACAAAAGTTATGAATTAATTCTTATTATTTGTTACTTGTATAGTTTATATTGCATTTAAATGTAATTAAATTTCAAATAATTTCTACCATTTTCAATGGTACTAATTGCACAGTCCATCCGCTAGATGTTTGCACAAGTATAACATTATTCACGAATTATTTTTTTCATTGAGTATCTTTCCTACTCACAGAAACGATAAACTTAAGCCGCCTGGCCATAAACAATAGCATACATCGAATAAAGACAGCCATAAGACGATGATCGGTGATTGCTTTAGCTACTGGCAATTGTAAGTTTTGTTTTGACACCGTTTGTAGTGTGTTTATAAATTATTTTCGTGTCATTTACATATCCAATCCTTTTTCACAATTTGAATATGCATATTTTTTAACAAACAGTTGTTATAACGACTAACCATAACCTTCGTGTTATATTAGGTTAAGAATTTATTTATTAGCTAATGACGACTTACGTAATATTTATTCTAACCTCTAAATTGACATTTAGTTATTTAAATATGGCTAAAACCACGTCAACGAGGGATATGAAATATTTTTTAAGGCTTTTTATTTTTATAGTATCTCTGGTAAACCATTAAATTCTCCACAACAACTTGTGTTAAATGTGCTGGGAACAGACATGGCAGTTGCGAGATGGTGCACCTTCCACCATGAGGCAAAAACAAAGGATCCTAAAGGACACCTGTTTGTCTTCGGAATCGGAGACGATGATATGGCTGTCCTTAGGAAAAGGGCAATGAGGCTGAGCTGCGCGTTCACCTCATTGTACCTAAAAGCAAGCATAAACAAAGTGAAGGATACTTCCTCGGAACCAGGAACCTCAGACACGCGGCAACCGACGACGGTTGCTGAGGCTGAGACACCCCTGGTTCCACAGCAGGGAGAAGATCATCAGATGATGGTCGACGAACTCTGCGGAGGAGGTTCCAAAACAACTGATGATGACCCCTCCTCAACCGAGGAGGAAATGGACACCTAAAACCGAAACGAGGAAACGATACCTAAACCATGGGCAAGGACGTCGAAAAAAATAAGGTTACCATTATTCAATGCAACCTCCAACACAAAAAGTTGGCAACGGCGACACTATGTCGCCGCCTGGATGAAACGGAGGATGCAATAGCACTAATCCAAGAACCTTGAATAAATAAGACCAAAATAACTAGTCTTAGCAGCCTAAACGGTAAAATTTTCAGCTTACCAAGCAATCAACAACCGAGAACAGCAATATATGTTCCCAGAAAAATCAAAGTCTCCCCCATGGCGCAGTTTTGCACCTCAGACGCAACTGCGGTTAAAGTGAAGTGCCCATGGGGAAAGGGCAAAAATGGAGAGTTGATACTCTCAGTTGATACTCTCAGTCTACCTACCCTCAGATGCAGCCACACTACCACCAACAAGGGAAATGGAAGATCTGGTAAACCATTGTTTCAGTCAGAAAGTAGAACTTATTATCGGCTGCGATTCGAACTCTCACCACTTAGGCTTGGGCAGCAAAGACAACAACGCTCGAGGTAAGTCCCTTTATGACTATATTATTATAAACGATTTGTATATCTTAAATAAGGACACCAAACCTACCTTTATTAACGTTCGTAGACAAACAGTCATAGATATCACGCTGGCAACAGCTGAAATATCGAATAAGATTCAGAACTGGCAGGTATCGGAGGATATTTCTATGTCTGACCACTGCTGGCTAACCTATAATATTAGTCTGGAAAAAAGCCTTATCAAATCGCGCGACCCTAGGAGGACGGATGTAGAACTCTACAACCGACTCTTAGAAGATGCTCTGCGGAATGAAAAGGCTTCAACTCCAGGAACTAATTTAGAATTGGAAAGGTATACGGTATCTATCCAAAACAAAATAAGCTATGCTTATAAAAAATCCTATCCAATAAGGATGGTCCAGGAAAGTCGCAAAACCAACTCTTGGTGGTGCACTGAATTGGAACACCTTAGAAAGATAGCAAGAACAGCTTTTAATAGAGCGAAACGCACCAAACTCAAAGAGGATTGGGATTCTTATCAATCAAATCTCAGAGAGTTTAAAAAAGTCTGCAGACAAAGAGCCGCTTGGAGAACGTTCTGTGAGGAAATTGAAGATTTGCGCAGGCTTCCAGGCTACAAAAAGCGCTCTCAAAGGACCCACATCGGCATACTAACGAAGGAAGATGGGAACAAAACTTCCAACCTTCGCGAAAGTGCTGAGGTCCTGATGAAAACACACTTTCCCGGTTCTAGTGTCTTAACAGCACCGAACTGGATGGAAGAAACAATCATACCCTCAACAAACGACTGGCATCTCGCCAGAACAATGATTAACGAGGAAAAGGTAAAATGGGCCATATCGTGCTTCACCCCTTTCAAATCACCAGGGCCTGACGGCATATATCCAGCCCTACTACGGTGGGGACTGGATATCCTTCTGCCGCACCTCGTGGAAATATTCAGAGCCTCTTTGGTTCTGAGATATATTCCTAGGAAGTGGAGAGAGGTACGTGTGGTCTTCATACCAAAACCAGGTAGGATGGACTACACCCTACCAAAGGCTTTCCGACCAATTAGCCTAACATCCTTTCTGTTGAAAACGATGGAGAGGCTATGCGAGAGGTACATAAGGGATGAAGTTCTGGTTCATAACCCACTTCACCCAAATCAACATGCATATACTTCGGGAAGATCTACCGATTCTGCACTGCATCATGTAGTGGGAAGAATTGAAAGATCGCTGGATAATAAAGAATCCACCCTAGGTATATTCATAGACATTGAGGGAGCGTTTGATAAAATCACATTCCCAACTATCACCCAACAGCTCAACGTTAGGAATGTTCCCCTGGCCATAAGCAAATGGATATTTAGTATGCTCTCTAGTAGAGCAATAAGCATAAATGTAGAAGACGTTTCTGTTAGAGGCATGGTTACGAGGGGATGTCCACAGGGAGAGGTGCTATCACCACTACTATGGAACATAGTTCTAGACACCCTGGTTGACCAACTCAACAGCAACGGTTTCTACACAATAGCCTATGCAGACGATATTGCTGTCCTGCAAAGCGGTAAGTTTGAGAACACACTCACTATCTATAAATCCTAAGAAAACAGAGATGGTCCTCTTTACCAGGAAAAGAAGAATCACGGGTTTAATACCCCCAAGGATTCTAAACTACAGTCTAAATTTTTCTGACGAGGTGAAGTACCTTGGTATTACCCTTGGCAGGAAGTTAACATGGAACTCACACCTAGATGGTAGAGCTAAAAGAGCATATATTGCCTATGAACAGTGTCGACGAACGGTTGGACGCACCTGGGGCCTCACGCCCAGGGTGATCGCCTGGGTCTACACCGCTGTCATTAGGCCAATGCTAACTTACGGAGCTATTGCTTGGGTACCAAAAGTGCTACAGGCAACAGCGATTAACAAACTAAACCATATTCAGCGGATGGCTTGCATAAATATAACAGGTGCCATGAAAACTACACCAACTGCTGCAATAGAGTTGATCATTGGCATCACGCTCAGCTGGTGCAAACCTTGATGTAGGAATGGGACAATTGAGAACTCGTTTCTGGCGGTACCAGAGAGCTAGATGTGTTAACAGTACTACAGACAGGCTGCGACTCAATTGAAGCAAAGTTCATCTTTAACAAACCCTACAAAATTGAAACAAGACAGTATATGGAGACAAACGTGGTAAAAGCCTACTGCATATACACCGATGGCTCCAAAATGAAAGAAGGCTCAGGATGCGGGATATACTCCAGATCACTGAAAGTAGTTCCACCACTTTGCCCATACCCCAGTAGACCACTGGGGTATGGGCAAAAATGCCAGTGTAGTTCTGACATAACTGACTGGTATTTTCATAGCCGCAAAAGAGATAACCCAAAAAGGTATAGCAGGGAAAACTATAATGATCTGCACAGATAGCAGACAAGCGCTACTAACCTTGAATAGACCACGTGTCACATCAGGTTTCGTAATGGAGTGTCACGAGTCACTAACTCAAGCTTCGGATGGTAATACCATCATCCTGAAGTGGGTTAAAGGACACAATAGGAATAAAGGCAACCGCATTGCTGACCAATTATCTAGGAAGGCGGCAGGCCTAAGACTCTTAGGACCTGGGGATCTTTTTGGTTGGTCAACTACAACAATCGCGTAAATTGTCAAATGTCACTCCCATACGCAAACCGTAAAAAGATGGGAAGAAGGGAAAGGATGTAAACTTGCCAGGGTAACACTAAGTAACTTGAAGAGTCAACATCAAAGAAGTACTTGGGAATGACCAGGAAAAATCTACGTTTGGCAGTTGGTTTTTTAACTGGTCATTGTCAACTAAGCAAACACCTCCACACACTGGGGCTAGTAGGCACACCTCTATGTAGGAAGTGTGAACGAGAAGACGAAACTGTAGAGCATGTCATATGTGAATGCCCAGAGTTATCGTTAATACGAGAGTACGCGTTCGGCGAGTCCTGGCCCACACCTGCCCACATAAGTGAGATGTCTCCTGGTGACTTGTCCAACTTCCTAGAAATGGCAGGATGGACAATGAGCTAAGGGTGACAGCTCCCTGGGAGAATGCACAATTTGTCAATTGTGGCCTAAGTGCTGTGAAACTTAACTCCCCTCCCTACTCTACAGATACAGATTCCCTTGGTCTAGGGCGAGACCATGAATCCCTTTAAAACAAAAGTTATGAATTAATTCTTATTATTTGTTACTTGTATAGTTTATATTGCATTTAAATGTAATTAAATTTCAAATAATTTCTACAATTTTCAATGGTACTAATTGCACAGTCCATCCGCTAGATGTTTGCACAAGTATAACATTATTCACGAATTATTTTTTGCATTTGGTATCTTTCCTACTCACAGAAACGATAAACTTAAGCCGCCTGGCCATAAACAATAGCATACATCGAATAAAGACAGCCATAAGACGATGATCGGTGATTGC